ATAGACTTGAAGGTGCAACGCGTGTTTTGGTGGGCGCGTGGGGAAAGTGAAAGACCTTTACGGCAACGGCAGGGCCGGCTCCAGAGGGGAGGCAACCTAGGCATGGGCCTAGGGCCTCCCTTTTATTTGGAGCCTCATATTTTTTTTTTAATATTATGTATTTGTGTTGAGTTTTGTCTATCTACATAAATGAAGCCTCATTATTTTTCTAATATTATGTATTTGTGTTGGATTTTGTCTATTTACACGATATTTACACAAATGAATGGGTTAATGGCTAATTATGGACTTAAATCATTACACAAATGAAGGAGCTAATGGCAAAATATGTAGTTTGTGGGGGATTGAGGCCCTAAATATTTCATTTTTTTCGTATGACGTTCGGTCAGAACAAGTTGTGTGAAAATAAATATTCTTTGTAGTGATATGATTTTTATTTTCTTGTCTTTAGTGTCCTCGTGATTGGTTGATTGTAATTTATTAAAGATTTTTGTAGCCCGGAGGTAATTTATCAATTCCAAGTTCAATTTTTTTTTTCAATTATTTATTTATTTATTTAATAGTCTCATTCAAATTTATGATTCTATCTGCGAATAGGCCTAATTACTACGTAAGTTCAAATCGACAAAATTCGAAAAGAAAAAACTTGCCTAGGGCCTCCGAATTTCTGGAGACGGCCCTGGGCAACGGGATCAGAAAACCAAATTCATATACAATGAGTATAAAATTACATATTTGACATTACAATAATGAACCTTACTATATTATTATTATTAAGACTGTATTATTATTATTAAATTACAAAATTTATTCGATAAAGTAAGGTTAATTTAGGGAAAACATATTTTTACAGATTCATTGGCTCTTTTATAATAGTATAGATTATTCTAGTTCTTCTATCCTAGGTTAGTGTATGTCTCCCCAGGGACGGATCTACAGGTAAGTTGGGGGAGGCCATTGTCCCCCCAACATTTTTTATTTTTTCTACTAAGTATAAGTAAACTTATATTTTTATAATAATCCTCAAATTAAATAAATAAATTAAGGCTTTGATAATCAATAGTCTTACCTCAAAATAAAGAATTCAAAGAAGAGTATTAGTAGAGGTATAAGTAGATCTTGTACTAATTATTAAATATAATAAGTAGATCTTGTAAGTCGTCTATAAATACGCTTGTATGTAACTTAATACGAGAAATAATTTTAATATACATAACACTTAAGATATGAAATTTAATATGGTGGAAGTATATGATATATGGTTATAGAAAATTCGTACATGAGATTATTCTTATATTTTTCTGGATTTTTATATTGTACATGTTCGAGTGAATTATTAATATGTTTTATATTTTGTGATATTAATTAACTTTAATTGCATGCAAAGTTTAGAAGTACATCTTTGTTCTATTATATGGAATATGTGATGTTTTTGAAAATTATATTATTTACCGCCTCCCCCACTAAAATTTTCTGGATCCGTCCCTGTGTCTCCCCTCAGTCAGTTAGCTAGGTAGTTGTGTTTTCATTGTATCTCTTTTTTGTTTTGTGGGTTGTAAACGTCTGTATTACTCATTTGCTAAATAGTAGATGAGGAACATTATCTCCTTCATGGAGTCTCTGTACATTTTGATTGAATTTTATAATATTCAAATGTTTTAGGAAAATATATATATATAGCTGTATCTAAATAATACAAATTTCAGTGTCAATGTGCCCACCTCAATAGTGTCGAATTTGTCCTACTTCATGGCACATCCTGCTTGTGTTTCTGATAATTTATAGTGATTTGATTGTTCTCATAATATGGTATAACCATGATGGTGTCATGATTAATGATTTGGTTCACCCTGTCTCCCACATGGTGGCTTTTAACGTCGTCACCATATTAGGGAGACAAATGAAAATGCAGGCAGCCTAATTAACAGCTGTCACCAGTTCGAACAAACAAATTTCAAGTTAATCAAACACATATAAAAAGTTCATGCATTCAATTATTCGAATACGAAAGAACTCGAACTTTGACTAACAATTAAACGAACGAACTCGAACACATTTTTTATCTCGAAAAATAAACAAAGACGAGCTCGAATAGCCCAAGCTCAGTTCGGTTGGTTTACAACACTACTTCAAAATAGATATATTTATGTATTATATACCTTGAAACCAAACAATGATCAATAAATTTAAAGAATAAATAAACAAATGATCTGTTTTAACCCACACAGGAATGTCATGTACCAGTATATGTTTTTTCTTGATTAAAAAAAATTATATATTTTCTATTTTGTCACACACGATTTCATTCTTCGTTTCCTTCAGTAGTAAATTACAGTGTTCATCACAGTTACGAAATACGACAGAAGTACAAGTTGCAAGAAATGCAGCACATAAGTATGTTTTGTCATCATCATGTTGCTCGAAAATTTGTGGCGTGCTTCGTGTTTTGAGGTCCATAGTCGAAATCCATAACAAACAAAAAAAAAAAAAAAACCTGCGAAATACTGCAACAAACAAGGATGTAAATTCGGTGCACGAGAGCTATTATTACACGAAACAACTAACAAAAAACACTAAATAAAGGTCAAGAAATGAATATGAAATAGAAAGCCAAAATTCGATGATGCTTGAAGCAAAACCATGGCAGAAAGTGATCAGCTAAAGTATATTAAGTCTTCAGACCATCCGGGCAAAGATCCCTAATCATTGGCAATTTCATCCAAGTAAAAGTTAAAAAATCAATACATTATGAAGAGGAAAACGAAAATTTACTCGTATGCACGACAATTTCATCCGAGCACATTGCCTTAACACGTCAGTCGTATGAGAAATTCCAAAACTATAGAAGAACATTCTAAAAAAATGCAAATAGACAATGCGACAGATAATCAGTTGCTAGAACTGCAAAAGCTTAGAATGGTTTTGTAACTGATTGATATTAAGAATTGAAAATCAATGAAATAAGGAGCATTCTAGAAGCTTTCACCTGATCATGAAGATAATCTTCTAAAACCTCAAGGCACACAGAAGAAGCTAAACATCAGAATCAGAATCTCAATAACGTGTGACATACTTCAAAACAAAACGATGTTAAATGCATTTAACGTAAAGGTAATTTAGATTACTTTACTAGTCACTTTCACCGACTACTTAGTTTAGCATACAATCATGTCATTTGGAACAACCAAAAATTCATGCTAAGAACTCACATAATTGTTGGAAGACGTGTTTTTTAACACCTGCTCCTCATGGAAAAATCATGCATATCAACAATACATTTGCATTAACAGATTAAAAATTGCAGTAAGTCAATCTTGAAGACCTCATGCCTAATTCATGCCTAATTCAACAACCAGAAACATACAACAAAAACACACATTGATTTTACAAAAGAAAAGGGAAAAAAACAGTGACACTTCGTTTTACAAAAATAAATTCATTACCAGTGGAGAAAAATTCTGGCTCCATCCACTTGACTTAAATAAGCTTGTTAAAAAGGATATATTTGCAGAATTCCCCCCTTCCTCCCGATGCGAGCTCCATCACGGTTCAGTACCCTTCCCCAACAACTCGATACCCTCTGCACGGCAGTTCATGACCTTTCTGAACGTCTCCCTCAGCTTACGTTCCAAAGGATCGAGCCCGGTCTTGCAAACTTCGCAAACACCCGACAGCTCGCTCATATTCTCGTTCACCTCGTTCCTCACCTCCTCCGGAAGCGGGAACTGGGCTGCATCCATCAAGTCCGTCATTCGGTGCACCGACTTTTCGATCTGATAGATTTCCCTCAACAGCCCACACGAATTACGCCGGTCCCTCTTCTTGGACTCATCCAACACCCGGCTTTGGATCAGGAAAAGTGGCGTGCTCCAAGAAAACTGCCTCGGGATAGCAAAATGAACCTGCACTCCCCGGTCCTGACAGGGGACAGCCGCCACAAGAACCCACAAAACAAACATTAGGACGAAACTCATCGAAAAAATGAGTACAGCAAGGCCGTTAGTGGCCGATACGTCGTTTGCTCGTGGGGGTAATAAATTATAAGCGATAGACTGCAGCTGCTTGGAAGCCGACCAATTGTGGGACACACTCCAAGAAAGCGACCGGGCATGGCCTGACGGGCCCCGCTGGTGCTGGTGCTGCTGCTGTGTCTCCTTGCCCTTGCGCCCGAACGACCGGTTTCGGCTCGAGAAGACTGGGCCCCCATCCTTATCATCTAGCATGAGGAGGGCCAGGTCCATAAGGGCCTTCCGGGCCCGCCGGAACTGACCCTCGCCAGTTGTTCTCTTCTGGGAGTCGAGCGCACACACGATGATTTCCAGATGCTTTTGCCAGAGGCGGATGGTCTCAACTCCATCTCGGGCTGCGTTGAAGACATCCATGGCCTTTATTGCGCGCTCAAAGTAGTCGGATGCCAGTCTGTCGGCGGGGGGTTTCGAGAGGAGGGCTTTGTTCTCGGACAGTATGGACGTGAAATCCTCCAGACAGGCAGTGAATGCATCCAGAAGCTTGTGTATCCAGGAAACTGAGAGGAGCTCATCGGAGTTTGCTTTGGATAGGTCGTTGAAACGGGAGAGAATTTGGTTTTGGAACGAGTCGAGATTTTGGATGTTTGAATCGTGGGCTGTCTCCGAGTGGACCTGATCGGCCCGGATAGTTAGGATCGAGCGTCGGAAGGAGGCAAAAGGGATTGGGCCGTGGCCATCGGATGAAGGCATTCTTCAAGCCAGAATGGATTTATCGAGAAACCCTATGTGACAAAAAATAAATAAATAAAAGAAAAGCAAGAATAAGTAAGTTTTAAGGATTGGATGAAACCCTAATTGGAATCGGTCACTAGATAATCAAAGGCGATACCTTTGAAATCTTGGAACCAATACTCGACTAAATCCGGTTATGAAATTGGGAAAATATGTAATCTTGTTAAGGCAAGCAGCAGGCTTCATTGAGAATTCACATAATACAGTTTCGAAAGCATATGATATTGACTTAAATTAACATCTCAAAGCAAATACAATCCACAAGCCATTCGTTCATAAAACATGTGAACAACAAACAAACGTTAGAGAACCAAACAACTTTAGTTGATAAATCATCAAATCTCACGATCAAGGTCGAAACTTTCCGAATGTCGCCCGAAAGGAAAAGTAAAAGAAAAATCAGGCGGATTAAAAAAACATACCAATTTTTCAACAATAATCGAAACCCAGATCAAGAACTATCTCAAAACAGATCTTTACGAAGGCCCAAGTAAAAATAAACAAACAAAAAAAAAAAAAAATGTTCGGCAAAATTCCAACGAACAGAATGCGATTGCAGGGATAATAATAATATGGAAATGTAATTCAGTGAACCGCACGAAGGTACCTTGATGCGTTTACGGTTATACAAATGCCCGCCTGAAGAAAAACAATCACCGAAACGTAAAGATGAAAAATTTGGAGGAAAAAGGAATTTTGAAACCCTAGCGCAGGACATGTACACCCTGCTCACAAATGAGAGGGAACGCAAGGTAAAATGAAAATGGTCAAAGAAACAGAAAAAAAGACGTGTGTATTCAATTCATATTGGTGATTGTCCGAGTAAAGTCCGAATAAATTATTACTTTTATTTCTTTATTTCGTTTTTGCAGGGAGAATACACTAAATGAGGATGCTCCTCTACTCACGGTGGACACGTGTTAATATCCTGATACGGAAGTGGGTTCCGAACCCCTGTAACAAAAAAGGCCAAGAGTCGAGACGACTCGATAAGGCTGATAATGGGGCCAAAACGACGCACGCATGGCCTAAGAGACGGATACGAGCTCGTATGCGGGGCACTCGAGCACGTGAGAAGTGGCACGTACAAGGCAGTAAACAAAGGCGCGACACGCGCATTGGCGTAGACGCGCATGGCGCTTGGAGAATAGGCGAAGTGGCGCGCAGGGGGAGGTTGTTGGGTGGATGGCGCGCGAGGGGGATTGCTATGGGCCAATGAATGGATGTGCGAGTACATGCGAGGTTGGTAGGTGCACGGGTGTACGCGGGTGCGCTGTAGAGGATCGAGACGCATGGGCGCTGGAGGCAACGCCTGAGGCACGGGACGACGGCACGAGCGGCACGGACATGAGGGGCGTGCGCGGCACTCGCACAGGTGGCAAGGAC